CAAATTCAGCCATAATTTCACCCCAGAGAGCTTCATTCCCATTGCTCTGGTTTAGGGGGCTTTGGAAGCTGGAGCCCTGTACACTGGGTAGATATTAGACCAGGTGTTATTTTTTCAAAAGTTTCCTTTTCCAAAATGTGGGAAGATCTAGTAGTTTGCTTGGAGAGAATCCTTTCAATTTTCTTCTCTCTCAAGTGCTTAAGACTTAGGTACTGCCCGATTTGAAAAACTGTATTGCATTAAAAAGCCCTCAAAGCACTCTCAGTTCAGACGCAATTGTGGGAAAGGAAAATGATACTTTTCTATTTCTGAGAAGCATGAGTTGAGGGCTCAGCACACAGTGAATGCCCAGGAGCCCATGTTAAACAACTGAAATGATTAATTGGAAAGAAGGATCCCCAAACACAATTTCCCCTGACTTAATGTTTCGCTAATGAAGTCAGCCCTCACTGAGCACAGGCTGCGTGCTGGGCACAGGGAGGGTGCTGGAGGCTGCTGCGTGGTGTCTGCCTGTGTGTGTATGTGTGTGGTGTGTGTGTGAGTACATGTGCAAGTGTGACTTGTATGTGCTTACGTGTGTGAATGTGTGTTCATGTGGTTGTGTGTAAATGTGTGTGCAAGTGTATGAGGTTGTGATTGTGTTTTCACTCGTGTGTGTGTATGACTGTTGCTGGGTATGTGTGCTTGTGTGCAGGGGGAGAGGAGCAGATGCAAAGGGGAATAGACGCTGCTCTGGGAGCCCAGGGGGCTTGCCAGGGAGAGTGCACAAGATCTGCGCACAGCACTCTCTTCCTTTGATCTGCAAAGACCTCCTGCGCCTCCCTTCCTGCCTTTTTTCCTCTATTGCACTAAACTCTGAAACCGGAATTGCTTGGGGTTCCTCATACAACCTCTCAATTCCCCACCCTTCCAACGGAGGATAAACTGACTTTCCAAAGCCAGTATCCCCAATCTCAAGTCCTGGTCCCTCAAGTGGACTTGGGACAAAATGGTTACAGAGCATGGTAGGCAGCCTTCAAGATGGCCTCCTCCTGAACTTCAGACTCTTGTGGGATCCCCTCCCTTGAGGATGAGCTGGACCTGTTGATTCTCTTCTCTTCTCTTCTCTTCATATTCATAGAAGATGGCAGAAAAGATGGGATGTGGCTTCCGAGACTAAATTACAAAAGGATTTCCATCTTAATGATCTCTCTCTGTCTCAAATCGTAAGCTGTCCCGTTGTGAAGACGCTCAGGTGGAAAGGCACCTGTTACCACATGCGAGGCACTAACTCTCAGTGCCTCAGAATGTGACTATACTTGGTGATAGGATTTTTAAATGAGATAATTCATTTAAAATGAGGTCATTAGGGTTGGCCCTAATCTTTTATGACCGGTGCCTTATAAGAGATTAGGAACAGATAGAAGCAGAGGAAAGACCCTGTGAAGACACAGGGAGAAGATGGCTGCCTGCAGGCCAAGGAGAGAGGCCTCAGAAGAAACCAGCCCAGCAAAACACCTTGAACTTGGACTTCTAGCCTCCATAATCGTGAGAAAATAAACATCTGTTGTGTATGTCATCCAGTGTGTGGTATTTGTTATGGCAGCCCTAGCAAATGAAAACAGGTCCTATACCATGTCAGTGAGCTTGGAAGCAGAGCTTCTGAGGTCCAACAGCCACATGAGTGAGGTTGGATTCGGATTTCTCAAACCCATCACGCCTTGAGGTAATCACCGACCTGGCTAAGGATGCTCCTGTTGCCCTAAGAGACCCTGAGTGGGAGGGGCCAGTGAAGCCACCTCCGGACTCTTGATCCACACTCTGTCTAGGTTCTCCTGTGAGAGAGTGAACGCTGGTTGTTTGTAAGTTTCGGGGTAATTTGTTACACAACAAAGGACTGGCAGGACATATATTTCATTGACGAAACCAAGGTGCACTTTTGAGGGTGAAAAGATTCTGAAATAAGAAGTGTATATATTTTGGAAATATTTATTTCTTGACTGGCAAGTTTTTAAAAATAGTTCTAAAACTATTTTCAACGAGAAAATTATTTCTAAAACAAAAACTAACAGCTGGGTGTGGTGGCTCACGCCTATAATCTCAGCACTTTGGAAGGCCAGGGCCAGAGGATCACTTGAGCTTAGGAGTTCAAGACCAGTCTGTGCAACGTGGCAAGACTCCATCTCTACAAAAAATAAAAAATAAAATATTAGCTGGGCAGAGCAGTGCTCACCTGTAGTCCCAGTCACTAGGCAGACCAAGGCAGGAGGAACACTTGAGGCTAGGAATTTGAGAAACATATTATGGTTAATTAATTTGAAATATTGACATCTGTACTCTACCCTTCATTACAGATCGTAATATGTTGAATTGGGAAAATATTCTCTCTACAGATGTTGAGGCCCTAGTCAGCTCAAGGGAAATGAAGGCTATTTTCAATGCTAACTTTTTGACATTAAAATGTGAAACTCTTTCAGCCTAAATATGTTACCAGATACTGTTTTTTGCCTCCTTTCAGAGTACGTTTCTTCAGCAAATCTTTTTACAAGACAGGAATTCATCAGATAAGTCATATTTATTTGTGATTCTTTCAAATGCTTCGTTACACATTGAGAAGCTGCGAAATGTTAGGCTTGCTCAGTTTCACGCTCTCATGGAACAGTGTATTTCTTTCTAAATAAAATAGAAGCTCCATCAAAAGAGTCTTGTCACAAGTCAAGATATTCCGAAATGTCATTATAGACTTTCCACAATGGTGTCTGATTGTTTAATGTGCCGAGTTTCTCCTTTTTTCCTTCTTTTTTTTTAGGGATGAATGCCAATGTCTTTTCATTCATAAGCTTTGTTTTCAATTAATGCAATTCTTTCAAGCTTCAAAAACGGAAAGTCCGTGTGTTGAATAATCTGATCAGGCATCTCCAAGTTTGAACAACATGCCTCCGAAATGTAGAGGACTCGTTTACAAAGAAGTTTAGTGTTGTCGCAGGATACTCAGATTGACTTCAAAAGCTCAAACTTTTCTAAAATCTGATATGGGCAGCATAGAGAGAAGGCACACAAGCTCTGCTATAGCGTGTTATTTTCATCTTTAATCAGCTTTGTCACAAAATCTTTGTTATATAGCATATGCATGATTTGTCAATGTTGGCAACCACAGCTTTCACTTACATTGTTAGAATATCACAGCCTGTTTGGAACCAATTATAAATTATATGTGTGCCATTACCAATTCCAAGTAAATGTTTGCTTCACAGGGTTTTTATTTAGTAAGAATACTGTTTCTACCATGACATTGTGGTTTACTAAAAGCTATATTTTTATTATCATTGCAAAAACAAGTACTGTTTAGCCTCAGTGTCAACTTTAAATGCAATTTGCAATAGTATAGTATAGAACTTTATTTTTCTTTCTGGAATTTCTAATTGCTTTCTTTTCTTTCCTTTTAAAGAGATGGGGTCTTGTTCTGTTGCTCAGGCTGGAGTGCAATGGCACTGTTATAGCTCACTGCAACCTCTGTCTCCTGGCTTCAAGTGATCCTCCTGCCTCAGCCTCAGTAGCGGGAGGTGCTTATCACCATGACTGGCTTATTTAAAACACTTTTTAGAGATGGGGTCTTGCTGTGCTTTTTCTTTTTACAAGGGAATTACAGTATATTTCTCCCTTATATCTTTGAACAATTCAGTCTCTCAACCCTAAGTTTTGTTAAGGAAAATAAGAAAATGATTTTTTCTTAAAGGTTCTCCACCCTACCGCCACCCCTGGCCCCAACCCCCAGGGTTCTCTTACCTCTTGTTAAGATCTGGACAGATATATATATTTTTTCTAGTTCTGTTATCGAGCTATGATCCTAGAAGTTTGTCTTTGGATGCCTGGGATAAGTCTACGCTGTTTTTAGAATTCCCGTATCTTTTTCCTGGCTTAGATACCTTCTTCATTTTGCTGAAGAATATCCTGAGAATATTTTTCAAAAAGAATATTCGGGATGTAGATTTTTAAGTATTTTTGTGCCTGAAAATGTTATTTTGCCCTTATACTTATTTAATAGTTTTTATTCAAAAATAGAATTGTAAGTTTAGAGTTTTATTTCTTTAATGAGCACTTGGGAAGACTATTCTAGTCTTCTGGTTTTCAGCGTTGCTGATGAGAAGTCACATGCCAACATGATTGTAATTCCTTTGCCAATAATCTGTTTTTCCCATCTGGAAACTTTTAAAATCTTCTCCTTGTCCTTGGAGTTCCAGTTTTCATGATAGTTTATCTGGAGGCAGGTCTTTCTTTATTTTTTCTATTTGGCATCTAGAAGGTCCTATCAACCAGAAGATTGTAGATTCCTGCAGCACTTGGGAGATGTTATACCCTCATTTGTATAATTTATACATTTTCTCTGTTTTATTTTTCCTGTAATTCCTAGTAAATGACTATAGAACTTCTTGGATTGAACTTATATATCTCAGGTGTTTTCTTGTGTATTTTCCTGTTTTTTTGATGGATATTCTGAGAGATTTCTTCAACTGTACATCTTTCTCCACGAAACTTTTCTTTTAGCAATTGTACTTCCAAGAATTCTTTCTTGCTTTCTAAGTGCTCCCTTTTAAGCAGAGCCTGTTTTCTTTTTAGGGACACAATAGCTTCTTGGTTTTCTGTAAGGGGACTGACCTTTTAAAAGTTCCTTCTGTTCTTTGCGTTTTGTTCTTAGCTTCCACGTGGCTGGTGTTCTTCAGCACCTGGCTTGGTTGTCATATGTGTGAAGAGAGAATCGGGGTGATGGACATTTCGAATTGGTGGGGTTTCTTCGCCTTTAGGGCAGATGCAGTTTGGTACCCGGTGGCCTTAAAACCTGGGCATTTGTGGATTCCTTCCACACCTGGGAATGCTATTCCATCGTTATATACTTCATACATTTTCTCCATTCCACTGCCCTTCTAGAATTCCTACTAAATTCTATTGTTTCACCCAGAGCCTTCTGCTCAGAGTGGGAGTCCTGAGAACACTTGTATGTGGGCAGGGCCTGTTGTCTCGTTGGTTTTACACTGGTGTGAACAGAAAAGGAACAGGCAGGCCAGTGGGGCCCCACCTGCCAGGAGCGCGCACACACACACACACACACACACACACACACACGCCCCACCCTCTGCTGCAGGGAGGCCCATCATCATCAGATGGGGGTCTGGGGCTCGGAGCTGAGGGCAGAAAGACTGTGCTGGAATTAGGACCCTGGTGATTCTGAAGCCCAGGTGTGGCATTGTGAGGAAAAAGGGCCGTGGGAGCTTAAGGAAGGTGGGGTGTGGGAATGGAGAAGACTTGAGGGCTGAAGGGAGAGGAAGGGGTGAAGTTGGTGAGGGGTCATCATAGATATAGAGCGTGTGTGTGCGTATGTGTGTGTGCTCGTGTGTGTCTGGAGGGGTAGGGAAGACCTGGGCAGGGTAGAGGGAAAAACACCTCTTCAATTCTGGGCCAGGCTCCAAGGAGCCCTGGAGGCAGATAGGCTGGAATTCCTCACCCAGCTCCATCCCTTTCTCCCCTGACAGTGGCCCAGGAGATGCCGCTGAGTTTAGGGCAAGCGGTGCCACCCACACTATGCTCCAGCGATGGTCATGATGCCCTGTCACACATATGAGCTCATTTCTTCCTAGCTCTTGTGCCCTGAGTCGGACTGTGGAAGCGTGGACCTAGACGTTACCCAGACCAGAGGGTGGTCCTTGGCCCTGCTGGTGACCTCGGGCAAACCGCTTAACCTCTGGAAGCCTCAATTTTGTCACGTATGCTGGGACGATAATAGTTTTTGTCAGTGAACTTTGCTAAGCCTCAGGTGCAGCAATGTTAAGTGGGACTGTGATGTTCACGTGCCACAGCGGAGGAGAGCATGAGAAGCAGTCATGAACAGAAAGCCTTTGCGGGGCCCTGGGGTGCTCTCGGTTCTATTTGAGAGTTGAGGAAGCTCACCCGGGCGGGGCTCAGGGGCTTCCTCAGCATCACAGGTGGACCCAGGTTCCATGGCTATGGGTGGACAGCGGGCTGTCTGGCTCTTGGGGGCGTCCCCTTCTGTTTTTCCTGTTGAGCTGGACAGAGCCTCAGAACAACCTAGACTTCCCACGTTGCCAAATCGCTTTCCAAATGGGAAATGTGTGACGATTTCTGACACCTTCTCCAGACATGGGAAAGGCTTTACGAAGGGATCTCACACCTCTGCTGAGCCCTGGCAGGAGGGAGCTGGCCTTGACCTGCCCAGCGCAACAAAGCTTGAGTGCAAACAGCGATTGTCCGTTTTATAGGCCACAGCTGCTGGGAGAAACGTGATGCTGAGCTTGCTGGGTTCCTGCGCACGGTTCAGAATTTGCAAGTAAAATGGATTTTGTGTCATTCACACTCATCTGGAATTTGAATCAGCTCAGTGCTGCCCAGCTCCCCACTGGTGCTGGCTGCGGCTGGAGCTCGCCGTTCTCGGTGTGGTGAGCTTGCACCGCAGGCTTGGGGGAGCACGGCAGCTGCATATTGGTCCGGTTACCGTTACGGTTATGGTTACTGTTTGCAAAGCGTTTCCCCCGCCTGGCTTGTGTATAGGCCTCCCACAACCCTGTGAGATGGATGAGCCAGAAACTCTGCCCATTTTCCAGGAGAGGCAGGGCTAGCCTCACAGGCCTGAGGCCTGTGCAGTCACAAACGACCCTGTGATCAGGACCTGAGCTTCTTGGTTTAATGCTCTTCTGCCATCATCTTGAAATTTCAATGATTTTATCTTTGAACCAGTGTTTTGTAGGTGAAGGCTGGTGGGACCGTGGAGCGGGCACATGAGCCGAAGATTCATGCAATAGACACGCCTGCTGTTCCTTGCTGCCTCATTAGCACGTGTTCTTCTTGATGCCCCATGAGCAGAGAGTTCCAGGGAACCCATGACACATGGAGTGTGACTCGAAGTGAGTACAAGGGATGTGTGCTGCATGCACAGCTGACTGAGCGAGGGCACAGACAAGCCTGACGGGCCACGCTTTCCATTCAAACCAGAACTCGCTTAGAATGCAGAGGAGAGGCAGCGGTGTTTGAAGAAGCACAAATGACCAAGGAAACCTGTCATGCCTTTTCTTACTCATGTCACTTTCCTGTGTTAGCCAGGTACTTACACTGAAAGTGATGACACAGAGGAAGAGGGGAAGGCGGGGCAGCCGTCGTTCCTCTTTCCCTCAGTTCTTCCTTCCCCAGCAGTAAGGCAAAGGCAAAGCGTGTTGGTAGAACGCGATTCTATCCAGAAATCCTAAAATTGCTGCTGGTCATCTGGAAGAATCAACTTGAAACAAAAACAGAAAACAGTTGAGTTTTTTTCTGCAGCATCTCTACTGTTCCAGCAAGAACAAAAATATACTTGTGTGTACAAAATATCAAATACAAATCATAACTTTGATGATTCTACATATGAGTTAAATGTTCTTATATTTGTAACTAAAACTGGTATTGCACAATATAATGAATGGTGAAATTCATGTAATTAAAAATTATAATTCTTCTTAGAATGGCATCAAATAGCAAATAAAAAACATCATAACAAGATGAGAGAGACTGGAAGAAAGAAGAAAGCTCAGCGTTTTAGTTACTTTGATGACACCTTTTTCCTGCTTTTTGAAGAAGAGTTCCCACATTTTCATTTTGAACAAAGAGCCCCACAATTACGAGAACAATCTGACAGAGGGCATGGCGACTGCGGATAGGAGGCCACCCAGATCCCAGAGTTATTCAGAGGTGAGTTGGGATAGAGTACTGGACTCTGGACTTTGATGGAATCTAGGAGCAGGATCAATGATGGTGGTGATGATGGTGCTGGCAGTGATGATGATGGCGGTGTTGAAGAAGATGATGATGGTAGTGGTGATGATGGTGGCAGTGTTGAAGAAGAAGATGATGATGGTAGTGGTAATGATGATGGTGGCGGTGTTGAAGAAGATGATGATGGTAGTGGTAATGATGATGGTGGCGGTGTTGAAGAAGATGATGATGATGGTAGTGGTAATGATGATGGTGGCGGTGTTGAAGAAGAAGATGATGGTAGTGGTAATGATGATGGTGGCGGTGTTGAAGAAGATGATGATGATGGTAGTGGTAATGATGATGGTGGCGGTGTTGAAGAAGATGATGATGGTAGTGGTAATGATGATGGTGGCGGTGTTGAAGAAGATGATGATGATGGTAGTGGTAATGATGATGGTGGCGGTGTTGAAGAAGAAGATGATGGTAGTGGTAATGATGATGGTGGCGGTGTTGAAGAAGATGATGATGATGGTAGTGGTAATGATGATGGTGGCGGTGTTGAAGAAGATGATGATGGTAGTGGTAATGATGATGGTGGCGGTGTTGAAGAAGATGATGATGATGGTAGTGGTAATGATGATGGTGGCGGTGTTGAAGAAGAAGATGATGATGGTAGTGGTAATGATGATGGTGGCGGTGTTGAAGAAGAAGATGATGGTAGTGGTAATGATGATGGTGGCGGTGTTGAAGAAGATGATGATGATGGTAGTGGTAATGATGATGGTGGCGGTGTTGAAGAAGATGATGATGGTAGTGGTAATGATGATGGTGGCGGTGTTGAAGAAGATGATGATGGTAGTGGTAATGATGACGGTGGCGGTGTTGAAGAAGATGATGATGATGGTAGTGGTAATGATGATGGTGGCGGTGTTGAAGAAGAAGATGATGATGGTAGTGGTAATGATGATGGTGGCGGTGTTGAAGAAGAAGATGATGATGGTAGTGGTAATGATGATGGTGGCGGTGTTGAAGATGATGATGATGGTAATGTTGATGGTAATGATGATGAAGATGGTGGTGGTGATGATGGTGCTGGCAATGATGGTGATGGTGGTGTTGAAGAAGATGATGATGATGGTAGTGGTAATGATGATGGTGGCGGTGTTGACGAAGATGATGATGATGGTAGTGGTAATGATGATGGTGGCAATGATGGCGGCAGTGATGATGATGATGGTGCTGGTGATGATGGTGCTGGTGATGTGTTGATGATGATGATGAAGATGGTGGTGGTGCTGATGGTGCTGGCAATGATGATGATGATGGTGTTATTGAAGATGATGATGATGATGTGGTAATGATGGTGGCGGTGATGATGATGGTGATAATGGTGGTGGTGATAATGGTGATGATGATGGTTTTAAAGTAACATTACTGAGCGAATGATATATGACACATGCAGTAGCTCATTCAGATTCATGGCAATCTTGGAAGGTAGATATAATTACCTTCTACTCTCCAGAGGAAGAAACCAATGCTTTGAAAGGTTGAGCAACCTGCCCACATTACTAGACTGGCAAGCAGCACAGCCAATCACCATGGACCCACAGACTCAGCCACCAACTTCTCTGCTGTCCTGCCTGCTAGAAGTAACACACCTGATTCTTTTGTACCTGTGTCCCTGGACGTCAGGATCCTCCTGGTAAGAAACAGAGTCGTTCATTTCATTTGTTTTTCTTTTAAAGTCATGGATCATGGGAGTCCTCTTCCCGGCACCCTTTAACTGGTAACACTTCCTGTCTTGCCCTTCCAACATTCTCCACATAGCAAGGAGACAGTTATCTAGTAAAAACCTAATACGTGATTATCTTGCTTCCTACTTAAAAGAAAATGCAAACTCCCTGAACACAACCTTACTTAACTCCCCGTGTGATCTGCCTCAAGGCTTCTCTCCACGCTCCTCTCATTGTGCTGTAGCCACATTGGCCTATCTTTGTTCCTCCAATCTGCTAAGCTCTTTCCCACCCCAGGACCAGCTGATGTTCCTCCTTTTGCCTGGGATACTGTTCGTTCCTGTTGCTCTTTGCCTGGCCAACTGCAGCTCACTGTTCACTTTACATCATAACTGTAAATTCAAGATTTTACATCTGCTTTGGTCATCTGGCACAAAACGGATGCTTGGTCAATAACACATTACTTCATTTTCTGTTATTTAGCCAGTACTCGCCAAAAAATAGGAAAAAAAAGAATAATGAGAATAATACATGATGAGTAATAAGACGTCCCAACTGTACAGAAGTTTTTCGAAGTGGTGATGAGGAAAGTCTCCTTTGCTTCGCTGGCCCCTCCCTGGTCCCTCCCTGGCCCCTCCCTGTTGAGTGTACATTCTTCCAGACCATTTTCCATGGACTTCGGTGCCAGGATAATTATTAAGATGCCATTTTCTTTGCATCTGGTATTTTCTTTCCTCCCAACCTGCAAGGTGGCCAAACCTTCCTGAGTGGAGCAGGGGTTTCCTAAGAGCTTTTGGAGTTCAAGGCCCAGAATAGAAGATGTGGGCCACAGAGAACACAGAGCTCACCCAGGCATTTGCTTCCAAAGTCAGGCAGCCAGGAGCTGTCGGCCCAGTTATCTCACAGTGGTGGGCCTCTCAGGGGAGATGTGAACCAACGTGAAGGAGGTGTGTGGGCTGGGCTGGCAAGGGTCAGGGTTTTGTGGTGCTAGAAGGGGCAGGAACCTGGACCCCCCTCACACACATCCCCTGGAGTGGCCATGGTGAGGGAAGTGTTTTGGAAGGACATGGATGTCAGGGGCACTCAGAGAGAGGGACTGCAGGTGCCCAGGCTCCTGGTTCACCAGGATATCTGTTCCCGAGTTTGGCATGAAGACAGCAAAGCTGTCCACCCTTATAGGATCACCCGGGTTGGATCATCTGGGTTGGATCCAGGTGCTAAAGCTCCAAAGCTGTTGGCAAGCCCTTAGAGAATACTGAGGGGCCTGAAGATGCGAGACCCTTCCCTGAATTTCCTGGAGGTCTTGGACACTGGAGGGAACACCCAGCACGAAGGCATTGGATTACTTAACCATCTTATTGAGTGGGGGCTCCTAGACAGGTTTATGTTGATTTAGGGCAAGCTAAGAAACGTGATATCTTAACACCTAAGTAACAGAAAACCACTGGATGGCCCTGAGGTCCCTGCCAGCTACGGCTTTTTGGGGCAGGGGAGGCAAAGGTGCCTCCTTCTCAGGGCCCCATATTTGTGGCCTGGGCTCCCTGCTGATGGCCCTACCCCAGTGGGAGGTGGGATTCCATGAGGGGAGGCAGAGACCAGGCAGCAGCCTATAGAGGAGGGACGTGGTGCTTCCCCTGCCCTGGTAGAGACTGCCTTGGGTAGCAAGTCGGCTGCCCACAGCTCTCTGAGGCACTCACCTGGTGTGGCTACTGGGGTTCAAACCAGGGAGCTGGTAATTTCCTGAAAGCTCCTCCCAGACAGAGACACAAATGGCCAAGCCAAGGTCATAAGATGGAATCTGAACTCAGGCCTACTGGGCTCCCAAACCTAAGCTCTTGAAGGAGGATGCACTGTACAGGCAGGGAGGGCACTCTTGCCCTCTTGGACGTTTCCTGGCTGCCCTGAAGGGTGCCTTGGCCGTGTTCTGGCAGACCAGCCCTGCTCTTACTGGGACACGTCTTGGTCTTGGGCATGGAGGGTGAGATATAAGGACTGGGGAGCCCTCCTGAACCTGAGGCCAGCCTCCTCTTTCCAGTAACCTCACAGGCCAGCCCTGGCGGGGCCCTCAGTCAGGCTGGGACTGAGGCTTAATGGGATCACCAGGCAGTGGTCAGATACGGTGCAGTCCTGGATGGCCTCAGTTTTCTGTCCTGGACAATGGGCTTGATCATCTCCCGGGTCCTGTACCAGGATGAGGCTGGCAAAGCTGTTTTCAAGGCTGGGCCAAGAGGTTGAAGTTTCCAGGTTCCTCTGGGTCAGAAACTGTTCAGATCGTTTTGCCAAAATGCCAGCCAGCTCTGTTCGGGATGGGGCAGTGTGCATCACCTGCCAGAGGCAGCCCTGACTCCTCAAGGGACTGGCCTGGGTGGGAGGGAAGCTCAGTTAACCCTGGCAGTGGACAAGTCCCACGATCATGATTTCTTATGCCCGGGAGGAGCCTTAGCTGTGAGTGCAGAGGGGGCTCTGCTCCTGGTGGGCCCAGCATCTGAGAGGGTGGCTTTCGTGTCACTGCAAAATGCCTTCGCTCTGATGATAAAAGACACACATGCTTAGAGAATTTGGAAAATACAGACAAGTATAAAGAAGAAAATGCAGATGACTGTAATCTCACCACTCGGGGATGACTACATTCGAAGTTTTGGTGTATTTTGTTTTAGGATTTTTTACAAAATCAGGACGGGATGACTTCAGACCACAGTCTGCATCTAACACGCCACGCGTAACTTAGCCAGGAATGATTTGTCAACCCTCTTTCTTTGACATTCAAATTCTTTGTTCTTTGCTGCTATAAACAACGAGGTGACATTGACATTTATAGGTGTCTCCTTGGGATGGCGGCTCTTTGGTTATCTATATATCATTGTGGAAAATGTTCTGCCATTGTAAAAGTTTTTGAGATATAATCTCAAATTGTTTTCTACAAAGCTCATATGCCACTAGCGGGATACCACAGGTGTCAGAACAGCTACAAAATACAGAAACAGGGCATTTGGGGGGCTCCCTAGTGTAAGTCCAACAGCCCTGGCCTTGATGGGTTCTGGGGTGCACCTCTCATCTCTGGGCAGGGGCCGTATCCAGGATGACCCTGAGTTATGAAGGGAGCAGCATTCATGAGGATACTGGATCAAGGCTGAGCAGGCAATGTGACTTAGAAAGATTCCCTTCCGCACGTATAGTGTGCTTCTGTTTCAGCCCAAGGTTAACTCTGCTGTCAGGAAGGACTGATGCTCTAGGCCTCCCAGAGGGTTGAGGGCTGTAGAAGCAGCCAGGCTTGGACAAATCTGACTGAAGCTCGCTCTGACAGGCAGGTTCCATTTGTTCTCAGACCCTGGCAGCCTGATGGCATCCCAACTCCAGGAGCACAGGGCATCTTTCCACTTTGTGCTTCTGGGCCCCAGGGAGCCTGTTTTGCCTGGTGCCAGCCCAGCCTGGGAGTCTGGGTGAGCTCAAGCCCCTGGAATCTGCCAGCACTGACAGTGAGAGCAGGCATTGGATGGGATGGTGCAATCTCGGGGGTGTTCTGTGTGCCCCTTCCAGAGGAACCCAGTCCCCATGACCCCCCGCAGCAGCGTCAGTGAAGCCTTTGGGTACGGCTTTTCCTCTTTCCTTTCCTTACTCTTCCACTCCCTCCCTCCTGCTTCCTGGGCTCACCTTCCCCTCACTCCAAATCACCTGCACCAAGTCCTTGTCTGAGACTGTGCTTCCGGGGGACCCAAACTTAGACAGAGGTTTCCTGCATGATCTCGGTGACATGGAGACCAGCCAGGACCTGTAATAATGGTGCTCACATTGGCTATTTGAACTCTTCCTGGAAGGAACTGTGAGGGTCTCCTCAGCCACTGCGATCCTCAAACTGTAGTGAGAGCTGGTATCCGGGACAGTCACCGAGTGTGCCTGTCTCCACTTGCTGGGGCCTCACTGACTAGGTGCATTGATGACAGTAACTAATTTACAGTGTCCTCTTAGTAATAAAATAATGTGTTATGAATGAAACATAAAGTCTGTATGAGCTTTGAAGATCAAACAAGAGGTGCTGCAGAAATTTCAGGTTTTCAGAAGGCTGCTCTGAGTTCCTGCTCCTGAGGGCTCCAAGGGATTCAAGTTTATTGTCCTCTGCTGGGGGCTCCCCTGGGACCATTGGAAGGGCTCTGAATAGTCACTGATCCTCACGAGGACTTGAGTTTGCAGAGGGCGTGTGCATTTTTGTCTCGCAGCACCCTGCAGCACCCAGTGAGGTCATCGGTTACTTTTATCCTCGTTTTAGGCAGAGAGAGGTTCAACATTGTCTGAAGACTCAGCCAGCCAGGGCTCACCCAGGTGGCACCCAGATCTTCAGACAAGATCTATTACTGAAACACCAGGGGTTCAGTCTAGGTTCTGCTGCTCACCACACAGAAAGCCAATCACAGAGACAATGATTACTGCCAAGAAGGAAGGATTTCACCAGGTGCTGCAGCCCAGGTGATGGGAGATCTGTCTCAGACCCATCTCCCTGACCGACTGCAACACGGGCTTATATAGCATGGAAGAAATGGAACTCTGTTTGGGAAAACAGAAACCCAGGAGGGCTAGGGAGGGAATCATGATGAACGAGGCCCTTGTGTCTCATTGTCAGGACCTGGTGAGTTTCAAGCTTTAAGACCAGAAAAGTCAATTTCTATGTTTATTAAAAAACAACAGCAGCTGTCTGGGCCTATTGGGTCGGTTTCACTCCTTTCAGAATGCCACACGGCTGCCTGGGGGAAGGGGGAGTTTGGGTTTGGCCAAGACTGACCAGTCGGCTGCATTAGGAAGTTTATGATTTGCTGAAGAGCTATGCATCCACATCCTGACCCGGGGTGAGGGCAGGTCTTGTCTGTACTGGGAGAGGTTTGCTCTCGGATATTTGCTTAAGGGCAGCACCAGCTGAGTGCTCAGGGGTTGGTGAGCATTCCTTTTTGCTAGAGGAATGTTCTGTCCTGCTTTCTCTCATCTGAACCAGGACTTGTGTGTGCGCTGGGGAGGGAGTCTTGTGTCCAGCTAGGGCTGGAGCTGGCCCAGCCTGCGTCACCCTGGCCTAGCACCTTGCTCTTTGGCTCAAGTACTCTGGGCTCACAGATTGCTTCAGGGGCCTGGGAAGAGAAGGAGGAAGCGGCAGAGGGAGGAAACATCATGAGAAGCAGACTCATTTGTTTTGGAAGGCTGCACACAGACTTGCTCGCCTCTGGGAGTTGGGGAAATGAGGAGGTGAATTTCAAGCTTTAAGAGCAGAAAAGTCCTAATCCATTGCTCACCTAGAAATCCACTGCTGAGGAATCAGTTGCTGAGTTGGTTCAGGTTATGTGGGAGGGGCTGTCATCCCGCACAGAGACCTGGATTTGTTCCTCTCTCTGGTCTTGGTGGGTGGAGGAGGCTGGTGCCTTGGTTCTGCCTGGGTGGGTGCAGGTCTGGGACCTGCCTGTTCCATCTCTGCCCCACCTCCCTTGGACCATGCACGATTCCATTGATGAGAAAAGCAGTTGCAGCAGGTTCTGGCGGGGCCAGTGCTGATGGGAGGATAGTTGTTGCCAAGTCTGTGGAATGTTGTCAGCACATGAACCATGACCGCACCCTTGCTGGGAGAAGAGTCAGCTTCTGGGGATTATATTAATAATAAATGGCGTCCATTACCAACCCTGCTCCTGCAAAGGCAATAATAACACCCACAGTGAGCACCATGATTGGTCTGTCAGCACTGGCTCATCACAGTGATCTTATGATGGGCTCTGTTATTGGTTCTGTTCCACAGATGCAAAAACCTAGGCTTAACAAGGTAAGTGACTTGCTCTGAGTGGCACAGTCACTAAGTGGCATCCCAGAGTCCTGAGGCTCAATCTCTGCACCACCACCTGACACATCCCGAGCTCTTTTTCTGTGCCAGGCCCGGCATTCAGACTCCACAGGCATCATTTGATTTTCATCTCATAATGACTTTCAGGGAAGGTGCTGCTGTTAACATCATCTTAAGTGGGGCTCGGAAAGGTTCAGTGATGTGCCCTAGTCACACAGCTGCTGGTGGACCAGTCTCTAGACCCCTGGCTTGTCTGAGCCCAGAGCCCTTGTTCTTTATCACGGGGCTGCAGCTCCATGGCTGTGGGGGCCCTGGGAAAGGGGAATTCTTGCAACCAAGAGGCCAAAGCAGCTGAGATCAGAAGACAGGGGTGATACATAGGCCATGGTTCTACCCTCCACTTGCCACTGGGCAGAGGCCACGTCCCCTGTGAGGGCTGCTTAGGCAAGGCTGAGGCACACCTCTTAGGTGGCAGAGCACAGAGCAGCACTGGGCACCTGACAGCCAGTCCACGTGTCGC